ATTTTTCAAGTGAATATCTTTGGTTCCATTTTTTTTATAATTTGTTCTCAATTACCAGTCGCACCTTGTAAATTTTTGTCTCAGTTTAATTAGAAAAGATGTATCATAAACATTTTATGGATGCTGTAAATTATTATAGGAATGATATAGGACATAGAAGAAAAATAATTTTTCTTGCGGAGATCTTTGTTTTCATGCATTTTATAATTTGTTCTCAATTTTCTGTTGCAGATTGTAAATTATTTTTCATTCTCTGTTAAATTGAAAAGGATGTGTCATAGACATGGATACTGTAAATTATTATATAATCTATAAATGACATTTTTATTCTTATATTTGTAACTGATGAATTGTAATCATCTTGAAATTACACATTTTTAAGTGTTTTTTTTTTTAAATCAACCTTTATTTATTTTGCTTTATCTAATTTATCCTGACATTACCAATATTTACATTATTCAGAGAGTTTCCTTCATCATTATTGTTATATTCACAATGCTTTGGCCATTAGGCAATCTGGCTTTCTTCAGGTGATATATGTTGATATATTGCAAGGTTTTCAGTTGGGTTAAAAATCACTTATATAAATCTTAATAGAGTGCTAAATATGAGATGTAGAAAATGAACCTGAAATTACTTTAATTCAGTCCTTAAAAGAAATTGTAACCTTCTATACAATTAATATTTATTGTCTCCTAATTTTATTATTTTTTACACTATATTTTTTTTATTTCAGTTTTAAGTTTGGGGAAATTAAAAAAATAATGTATACTATCCTCTACCTATTTTTCCAAGAAATATGACTCCGGATGAATCTTTCCAAAACAGAAACAAGGATCTGGAAATGGAATGAAATTAATGATTGCACCAGCCCTGTATCCATCATAAAATTTCATGTTCTTGTCAGTAAATTCTAAATACTTTAAATACCTCAGTCTATAGATCACTTTTAACAAATTTAGTATAGGAGACATTCCACAATACTTTAAACAAAAGGTTGTAAAAGAAGCCCCAATTAAAAGAGGTCAGAGTGATAACAGTTGGTTTGAGGAAACTATTTTCCTGATAAATTGTTTTAATAAAAACATTTTATGAATTCTAACTGGCTACTCAGTCAATGAATGTTAAATGTTTCCTTATAAGGAAACAGGTTCAATTATCATTATCATAATTCTATGGAGGGATTACTTTCAGAACATATTTACAGTAAGTTTTATCACTTTTCTTGGTCATTTTAAAGCAGATGTGACTAGTCAAACTGTGTGACAACAGTCTCAGAATGCAATAAAAGTTCTTATTTCAAAGGATTTTTTTTCCTGGCAAAGGTACAAGTCTACTTATCTCTAGTCTTTTTTTAAAAGTAAATATTTTTTGAAATATTTTCTCGTTCTTATATGAAAACATCTGAAATGTAACAAGTGACCAAAGTTGAAAACAATGGTCTTTTATTCATTTTTAAAGTGTTATGAAATATGATTGCCTTCATATCTTCTCAGTCCAGCACTAGTCCTTAATCTTGTGTATTGTATTCTGCCTCTCCTCTTTCTGCTTGGACACTTATATTGTCATTATAACTTAGCTATGCTTATTTGGCAGGTAGAAGGTCACTATAACTTAGCTATGCTTATTTGGCAGTCATTTACAAATAACTATATAAAGAAAAATGACAAAAATTAAGAAAAAATTAAATTAAATATTTAATCCCTGTGAAATTTTAAGCATATTTATATGGGTGTCTGCTGTCATGTTTCCAGGAAGTGGGTGGGCGGAGCTCCTAATTTTCTGAGAGGGTTGTCAAAATGATATACTTGGAAAATATCTCCCTAGAAACCCTGATATCAGGTAATAACTCATCAGAAATTAAGAAACAAAAGCTTGAAAACTATATTGCTTATTTCCATATGCATAATACACAATGATTTATAAGATAAATTAAACCTATTTTTCACATCTTAGCAGTTTGATAGGGTCAAACTGGCAGCTGATCTCAAAAATGATTAACTTTCTGCTGTTAAATGGAGGAAGGATTGGCTTGTTAATTTTAGCACCTTCAATACAAAACTGCTCACTTTTAATATTCTGTCAGAACTGTTTTACCTTCCAGTAACATGGCTGATGCTAAATTCGTGATTTATTGTACCTTCATGGACAAATGTTTTCCACTAACATGAAATGTAAAGATTATATTGAATCAATTACTAGGACTGCTACTAGAAAATATTTTTCCTGGTGTCATGCAAGACAGTTTTTCTTGCCAGAAACTTACTGCTGCCACATCAGTTCTGGTGCTCCTAAATATATATCAGGAGCACCAGAACTATACAATGTTATTAGTCCTGACTTAGCATCTAGCCTTCAGACATTTTCCCATTGCTCTAATGTAGATTTCCTGTGACTTTTCTATAAATACTTTCATGGTAATTGTTCTGAGAAACTTTCCTTTATGGTACTTAGATTTTATAAATTTAAGCACAGTACTATATTGACAGCAAGGTCTCATCATTTTACAGTTGAAATGGCTAGATGTAATCCTAATTCTATGCTAACAGTTTCTTCTATTGCACTTCTTGTTGTGGAAATCTCTTCCAGCTTCTTGTTTCTCAGTCAACTTTGATCTTTAAAAATTTAAATGCAATGTCAATTGTTATCTTCTGTCTTTTTAATTCCTGTTCATTTATTGTTTTCTCTTCTTAATAGTGCTTTTTTCTCTAACATTCAGTAACCCCTTGCATCTTAGTGGCTTTATTACCTTGCTTGGGATGAAATAATTAAAACAAAAACAAGCTCTCATATCATAAAAGTGTTTTCATGATCCAAAACTGTTTAAGCTTAAGGACTAATACAAAAACAAAATGAATACTGGTAGCATATATCTTCAGGGAAACACTGCGAAAGAATCCTCAAATTGGAAAGTCCCTGCTAAATCAGGACATAGTAAGGCTGATTAACACCAAAATTGTATGTATGCATATATATATATATATATATATATATATATATATATATATAAATACATTAGTATATATATATATATATATATATATATATATATATTATGCTCTACTGTTTGCATTGAGCACTGTTTTTTTAAAATAAAAATAAATTGTTAAGAACTCTGAATTGTAAATCTCATTATTCTTTCCTATATATATATATATATATATATATATATATATATATATATGACTTCTGTCTTCTTAATTTTTGTTCTTTTATTGTTTTCTCTTTCTCCTTAACGGTGTTTTTTTTTTCTCATATTCTCTAACACTCAGTAACCCCGTGTCTTAGTGGCTTTATTTCCTGAAACGATTAAAAAAAGTATAAAATTTGTTATGCCGAAATGGAACCAATAACCAAAGTAGAAAAAAATGAGTTTATAAGTTTTGAAGAAAAGGAACAAATATAAAGAAAAATAAAATGAAGTTCTTTAAACCTGGTAAATGTTTGAACAGAAAAACAGTGCACATTGGTGTGTGTATCTGTTGCCACTTTTCCAAGGTGAGTAAATATTTCCATTTTCCAAGACGGTAGAATGTATTTGTTATATATATCAAGCAATACGTCATCTGATATTCAGAAAACAAAATCTTGAACACTATATTGCTTATTTTATGTGACATTGGAGATGATGAACCTTGCTGATTTTTAAGTGTTTTCTTCGAAATATACTTTTTATTTGTTTTTCCTGACATGCTGTAATGATTTAATTTGGATTAAAAATCATTTATATAAATTTTAAGAGAGTCCTGAATATGAGATTGAAATAATTGTTTTTTATTTTAATTTAATTCAGAAAATAAGCGAGAAATTACTTTAATGAAGTAAATAAAAAAATTGCTTAAAAGCAGCTGTAACCTTCTATAAAATTTTAATATATTTTTTTAAATTAATTTCTTTATTCTGTTTGACTTTTAATTAACAACATGATAGGATTTAGTTCAAGTCAAAGAAAAATTAGCTGGGAAAGACGAGAGATGATCATGAAAAGTATTTCGACCTAGGCCTGGCCTTGTTAATAACTTCAATGAGAACTCTAATAATGATCATGTTGGTGGATGGTGTGGTGGGGTATTGCAGGTGGTGGTGAGGAGTGAATGAAAGAATAAGAAGACAGGCAATACAAAATACTTGATTATATCCGTATTATTAAATTATGAAGAACGAGATTTTGCTGATGCATTCCGAAACAATTAGATAAGACTTTTGCTATAAGCAAGAATTTTCAATAAATTAATAGGAGCAAAAGTATTGGGTTTCAGTTGTTTATGACTTGAGATAATACACCCAGTGTTTTTTCATTATCCCTTCCATCTATTCATTGCCATAAAAGACTTCTTGATCCCACGAATAGAACAGATACATGATGGCTGAAAGGAAACATTTTGAGTTAAGCCCTTCCCCACTGAAGTGACATTGGCAACAAATGCAAAACTTTCAAAGGTTCTGGTGATTTTTCTAAACATAGCTTAGATGTGATGCATGGCTGAAAGTATGGGACACCCAGTGAGGATTGAACTCACTTTTCAGTTGTAATTGATTTCATGAGGTAAACCAAGCTTGTTAACTATAAGACCCTGGTTATTTTCTATGTGTAGCTTAAATGTGGCAGAAGGCCAAAAGTATGGTGCTCCTAGTGAGGATTGAACTCACTACTTGGTCATAATTGTTTGAGTGAGACAAGCTTGTTAACCATTACACCATGCCAAGTTGCTCTATATGTTCCAGTTATGTGTTGAGCTTCTCACATGTACATCTTCAAGCTGTTTTGCTGAAAGCTCTTGAATTTAATTTACTCATTTCATTATTGGCATCTATGAAGTAAAACTCATGACAATCAGATGATTCCGAGAAAGATGAAGAATTTCCAATGCCAACATGAAATTAGCTTGAATACCCATAGAAGTTCATGAAATGGCAATTTTAATATTTATATAAAAGCTGAGGATTTTTTGCAAATACAATTCTAACCACTTTACCAAATTAATACAATTGGAAGTTAGATTTTCTTATATTGTCTTTCTTTTGCTTTCTTGCTCTTTTTCTTTCTCTCTTTTGCTCTTTCTATTTTTGTCTTTCTTCTTCTTTCTGTCTCTTTCACTCTATGTCACTTTCTTCCTCTCTCTATCAACATCAAGATGTTCACATCTACTTATTAGACTAACTTATCGGTTCATATCTAGCTAGCTATCCAAGTATATTTCTTTCTTTGTTTCATTCTTTCTTTCTTTCTTATTTTCTTTTCTATCTTTCTTTCTTTCTTTCTTTCTTTCTTTCTTATTTCCTTTTTTATGTATGTATGTATGTATGTATCTATCTATCTATCTATCTATATTTCTATATTTCTATATTTCTCCATCCCATAGTTTTTTCTTTTTTACTTTTTATTTATCTGTCCCATTATTTGTTTGTTTCTTGCTATCTATCTATCTATCTATCTATCTATCTATCTATCTATCTATCTATCTATCTATCTATCTATCTATCTAAATCTCTTGGCTAGTTTGCTTATTTGTGTTTTCACTCCTTCCTTCCTTTGTTTCATTCTTTCATTGTTTCTTCTTTCATCCTTATTTTCTTCTATATATCTCAGTCACTTGGTTTGTTTGTTTGTTTGTTTCATTCTTTTATTCTTATTTCCTTTTCTATCTATCTATCTATCTATCTATCTATCTATCTATCTATCTATTTCAATCCCAGGTTTGTTTGTTTGTCTCTTTCTTTCTTTCTTTCTTTCTTTCTTTCTTTCTTTCTTTCTTTCTTCTATCTGTCCCAGTCACTTGGTTTTTCTTTTCTCTCACTCTCTCTCTTTCTCTGTGTATATATACATTTTTATATGCGTGTATACATATATATCTTATCTGTATATGTATACACAAAGGAATATGTGTAGAACGATAATGCAATGTAGATAAATATTTGTATGCACGCGTATTCCTGCTTATCCATGATTTTGTGTTATGTTAATTTTCTAGGTGATTATGTTGTTGTATTGGAGAATAGAATTACTTCTGCAGGAGGCATGCAAAATTAGATGAGTTAGCATGAATTATGCATTGAACTCATATTTGCCAGTTTATCTGACATGTTCCAGTGATTGAAGTTGATAAAAGAATTGTTGGTTGTCCAATGGACGTATGTGATTAAAGTATGTTCAAAGCTCAGCTTTTATATTTGTCAGTTTTGTGCATGCAGGCACAAATTCACACACATGCAGACACACGCAAACTAAGCTAAGCTAATAAAGTTCTACATCTCACAGTAGGATGTGGTGAAAAGCTTCAGCATTCTCTGAAAGATAGATAGAAAGATATGAAAAAATTTAGATTATGAAATGATTGAAATAGACAGACAGATAGATAGATATAGATCAAAAGAGATATATACAAATATAGTAAAAAATATATATATATATATATATATATATATATATATATATATATATATAGGAAGACATACAAAAGATAGATAGTTTGATATAAAGTGATTAAGATAGATATGAACTGAAAGAATTATATATGTAGATATATATGAATAGAATGAAATAGATTTATATATATATATATATATATATTTGAACTCTAACAAAAAACACATTTTTTGTTAAACTCTTAAATGCTCAGGCCAGTAGGCATAAATTTACACTTAAAAACTATTCAAACATATGTATCTATTAATTTAAACTTGAAAAGTAATCATATATATATATATATATATATATATATATATATATATAAGTAGACATTGAAGTAAACAGCACATGGGGACAATCTGTCTCATGCTTAAATGCCATTGTCAGGCTATGTGTGTTGTATTTTTCTCAACTATATACTGGTCAGTGATGTATTATCATTAGGCTTAGCTTATTATTCTAATTGTTACCTCATTGGGTGGTAACGATAATGTGTCGAATTGTTCTAAGGGTGGAAATAATTGTGGATTTGGATGCAATTTTTTGGCTATTTTATCATGTTGTATATGAACTTTTTTATTCATTATTGATTATTTTATTGTTGGGTGATATTATTACATTTATTTGTGGTTATATGTGCCTTCATATTTTTTTAATTTGTTTATTATTTACTGAGTTTATTTACTTATTTATTGGTTTGGATTAATTTATTTTATATATTTATTTTATCTTATTTTTTATTTATATTTATTTATTCTTGTCCATTTTTAATTTTCAATATTTGAGTAATTTTGTTCTTTTTTGTATCTGCCTTTTGAAATGAGTTCTAATTTTTTATTTAGTAGTTGTGTTGGTCATAGAAGGTAATTATAGCTGTTCTCTCCACCAGACAGAGTTTACAATTTTGGGATTTAATTTTCTAAGCTGATACTCTTTTCATTATTTTTGATGATATTTTTTGTGTGATTTGGTTTTTGCTATTAATCTTCCACATAGGTTTAGAAAGCATTGTGCTGTTTGTATATTTACTCTTTGTAAAAGATGTTTTGTATACATAGTTTCTTTGCTACCAGTTTCCATCAGTTACACCTTTGTATATTTTTCTTTATCTGCTGATTGTACAGTGGCTTAGTATATTACATGGCCCTGTAAGTAATTGTCATTTAATTCTTTGTTATGCAGTTGCATGTGGGTTTGATTTGTGTGGGTGGTTTGTTGGTTGTGTTCTGTTGTACTTTTTTATTATTTGTGTGATGTTCTTGTTGAATATTTTGTGGAGTGTGCTCAATGGGGGGAACTGTTCGTATATGATTTTAATGAATATTTTTGCTATGTTTGTTTTTACATTTTTGTTGTACAATGGGTTGAACCAAGTGATGTTTCTTTTCCTGTTGGCTTTTTTGTGTGCTGTGTATGTAAGTTTTGCCAGAAATCCACTATCTCTTGGGGCTGTTTCATAGTCTTTCTCAGCTTCATTGAAGAGGGTTTCATGTGAATTATTCTCAGATAGTCTGCAGTTAATTGATTATTGATGGTTGGTGGTTTGTCATGTTTTCTGTATGGTTGATACATACCTGTATTAAGTTGAAGGAGACATCTAGAAAATCTATTTTTTTAGGTTTGTTTTTATGCCTTATTTTTGAAAAATTTCATGATTGTTTTTCCGGTTTTATCTGTTTTTATTTGTCAGCTACAGTTTCTTAAAATTATGATACCATTGATCCTGTAGAAGACTGTACCATTTTTATTGATTATTTTACTTAGTTCATGTAGCAAGAGGCCAGTAACGATTCATCTGTGGGAAAGGGGTTCAAATAATATTTGATTTTGGTTCTTACCTGCCTCTTATAGAGATAGAGAATGGCAGAAGGAGTTTGGTATGATCAGAATATAGAACCTACCCAGTGCAATGAACTTCTGTATGAAATCTTAAATTCAACATCAATCATCATTTTTGGAGTCCTGTTTTTGCTGTTCTCAATAATATTTACCCAAAATCTTTCATTGTCAGCTTACCTGAAATGATTAATATATATATATATATATATATATATGTATGCAATTTTTTCATATATTATTTATATTTTATATATGTGTGGTTGTTATTGGAAAGCAATCAATATACATGATACAGCTAACATATTTAGTTGGATTGATGCGATTTTGTGACCCTGGGTTTCACACTGTTTGCAATCATCAGACAAACTAATTTCTTTGTTATGCAGTTGCACTTGGGTGTGATTTGTGCAGGTGGTCTGTTGATTGCTTTCCTGTACTTTTTTATTGTGATCGTCATAATAAAATTATGAGATTGTCAGACAAACTAGTTTGTCTGATGATTGCAAATAACATGAAACCCAGAGTTACAAACTCACATCAATCCAACTAAATATATATATATATATATATATATATATATATATATATGTGTGTGTGTGTGTGCAAAAAGTGTGTGTATATATAAATATATATATATATATATATATATATATATATATATAATTATTTATATATTATATTATCAGAATTTATACCAAAATAAATAAATAAATGAAATAAAATAAAATAAAACACCAACAATCACTTTTTTAGTTCAAGCTACCACCACAATAATTACATTTATTGTTTTTTATCATTCTCCCACCACCATGACTAATCACTTCTACCAATTTACAATAACTATTAACTACTTATATTATCATTGCGACCAATCCCTCTACAACATTACTATCACAACACATCTACTATTATCATATCAACCTGCTATAATTATTAACGTAATCTAACCCCTCTCCCCCAGCATATTTAATACCACCATAAAAATAACCAATAAGGATTACAAACTGCAATTTCTACCAGTTACATATACACAGTCATCAAAAACAAGAAAATAACCAGCTTTAAAATAATAACAAATAAACTTTAAAAAATTAAAAATAATAGCAATTTTTACCTATCATAATTTTACACAGACCCCACCACACGTATATACGTGTATGCGAGGAAATATTATTCAGCGAAAGAATAGAAAAATGTTCTGATTGCTGACATTTATACATTCACGAGAAATTTTTGCTACACTTCTGATCATTGAATTTCAACATACAAATGCATATGCATATAGACAACATCACACATATATATACATATGTCAAATCCCATACTGTCTACATATGTTTATGTCTGTATGAGCCCTGGCGGACGAGCGAGTGTGTATGTGTGTCTGCGTACCTCAATGGGTGTACGGACATGCATCTATGTTTGCGTTAGCATGAGTGACATCATGACGATGATCCCCCTCACTTCCATAATAACACCAATACACGCAATCTACATAAACCCAAAATTTTAAAAAATGAATCAGTTTTTCTGACGATTGCAAAAAGCGTGAAATCCAGGGTCACAAACTCACATCAATCCAACCAAAATATATATATATATATATATATATATATATATATATATATATATATATATGTAGGACGTCCATGGCTGAGATACAAAGACAAGCTGAAAAGCAACTTGTCAGCAGTCAATATACCACATAACACCCTTGAGCGCTTAGCTTTGGAGTGGGTAGAATAGAAATCAATGTGTTTTAGTGGACTCAGCAATTTTCAATCTGCTTGTCTGAATCATCTTCAAAAGCGAGAGCAAGATCTAAAAGGTCAGCCAATCTAACAGTGATCTTATCTCACAATCCTCACTCTTGCTTCATATGTGGCCTCCTTTGTAAATCACTAGTGGGTCTTAAATGTCACTTAAGATTATTGCACAAACTTTCAAAACTGAATCAATTAGCAGTCAGCTCCTCATACGTCAAAACCGACAGGAGAGTCCATTATTTATATATATATATATATATATATATATATATGTGTGTGTGTATGTGTAGAGTGACAGAGAGCGAGAGTGAGAAAGAGAGAGTAGGAAGGGATAGAGATTAAAGGGACATAGAGAACCAGGTTTACTGATTGGACATTAAGAAACATTGAGCAAATAATTGTTTAATAGGCCAGAAAAAATAGTACAAAAATATAAAAATAACGGTAAATCAAAAAATAAACAAAATTTCCATACAATAATTTCGACTGGTGTAGAACAAATGCATATAAAATAATCCCTCTGCACAATGATGCACTTCTGGTATCATTCAATGAGATGATGCCCATGATTGACGCCATTTGTCCAGGATAAAAATGAGAAGATACAGGCAAAGTGAAAAGCAGATGCATGAGATAATGGATAATCTTAGTTTTTTTTCAGAATGGATAAGGATGAAAATTAGAAGAAAAAAGCAATGGGTTATATAAAAGCAGAGGCATGAGATTATGGATAATCTCCGTTGTCCTGGAAAGAATAAGGGTGAAAATGAGAAGATACAGGTAAAGAGTTATTGAAAAGCAGTCATAAGAAAATGAATTAAGTTATCAGGCAAATAATATAAACTTCAAAAACTCGAAATTGCTTTGAAAAAATTTTGTCAAATTTTAAACAAATAATTTAAAAATCTAAACAAATCTTGAGTTAAATTTTTAGGTAATTTCAACATTTTTCTTAAAGTTCTTGGATTTATTACTATGAAACCAGCTAGAGTAATTTCCATATTTGTGAATAATCATTTCTTTAAATCTTTATTACTTTCTTACTTTCAAACATGATATGCTAATTGTAATTGAGAATTTTAACAGACAGAAGCTTTTCATTGATTGGCTAGGAATCTACTTCGCATGAACTCTTCTTCACGTGCCCTAATGGCAATGCATGAGGCAAATAGATGTCCTTGAGAAATTTATGCCCTAAGAAATGGAAGAAATCCTCTAAGATATTTAATAGAAAGACATTAGCACCTGATTTATGGAGAAATTTCTTTCAATAAAATGAAAAAAGAAATAAAATATAAGAAAGGAAACACAGCCATAGGACTCTTGATTCCTGTGTGGATTGCTCAGCAAGTTTACACCTTCAAAGTGTGATTTCCACTTTGGGCAAGAAACTTTTAAGATCTAATCACCTTTATTTAATTTCAATCTAACTCCTTGCTTGTTTTTATTGCTTATTTTTCCCCTAAATTGATTTTAAGGCAATGATATTGATTTTTAGATTATCATTAATGCATGTTTATTTGCAGGAATTTTCTGCGCACTTGCCATGGCTGCAGAAATGGGTCCAATCAAAGGGTTCGCATATGTGAGGAACTTGTTGTTTATGGTGCTTGATTAATGCATTTCTATATGCTGGACTTTACACACAGTGTTTTTTGTTTTTGGTTTTTTTTAAGAAATTGCAAATCTTGGTTACAATTTGTGGAATGTATCCCCTCCCCAAATTAATAAACAACTCCTACAGGTGCATGCTGGAATTTCTTCCTGACTATTAAAAATAGATATTTGTTAGTCCCATGTCTACATTTTTGTTCTTTCTGGCACAGAAGTCAGAATACTATAACCACATGACTGTATCTGTTTTGAATGTGAATGCAATTCTTACTTTGGGAACATTTTTGATTTATTACTGTTGTTTTACTTTGATTTTTGAATTACATTATATACACTGCTGTACCAAAGTAAGTGAAGCCCTAAGATAATATTTAAAATAATTGTCTCTTTTTTACAGATAATCAATAAATCTTAATTAAACTATATATTAATAAAGAAAAATCCTTTATTAAATCAATTACAACCACTTTAAAAAATTTTTTTACCTATCTGGAATAAAAAATTATTAAAAATTTAAGATGTTCAAAAGTAAGTGAACCCTTACATTTAATATTTGGTAACTGCTCCTTTTGAGGTTACAATATTAACCAGTCTTTTTCTATAATTTTTAAGAAGTTTCTGACAGTAGTGAGTGCTGATATTTGACCACCTTATTCATCATTATCTTATATGTAATCAATTATATGATTTCAATTAACTGATATCTTATTTATCATTTACATTCATATATTTGATGGTATTTTATTCATCCTTATCTTATACTAGCAACATGGCTCGGCGTTGCACGTGCTTGATTCAAAAATCGTATGACTCATACAGCAATCGCTATCACTTGACTTAAAATATTTTTGCCCTTCCTTGCCTTTAAAGGAGTGCCCTTTGCCGTGCTGATGTTGCTACATGCCTTAGTTCTTGCCTATCTCACACTGCAAATTTTTTCTAAGCTCTATATTAAACATTAAATCTGTTACGAAAAAAGAACTAAAAAAAATGAACACAAAATGTCAGCTTTAAAAAAGGACTCGAAACTGGAAAAACCGAATGAAAAAAGAATGTTAACATTCCTTTTGAGGTTACAATATCAACCAGTCTCTATCTATAATTCTTTAGAAGTTTCTGGAAGTAGTGAGTGTTGATATTTGACCACCTTATTCATCATTATCTTATATGTAATCAATTATATGATTTCAATTAACTGATATCTTATTCATCATTTATATTCATATCTTCGATGGTATTTTATTCATCATTATCTTATATGTTATCAATTATATATTATCAATTAACTGATAAATTATTCATGATTATTATTTATATCATATATGATATCTTTTTCATCACTATCTTATTAACAGATATCAATTAACAGATATCTTTTTCATATTTGCTATGGCAGTATTTAAATATATCTATTCTATTTTAATCTACACTCTTCTTTTTCTATGTGTTGTGTTACTTCAGGACATTGATGATCATGGCTCTCCACAATTTTCCTAGCTTTTAGTAAATTTTGTCTTTTTGTACTTCTGAAACCTTGTTTCACAATCCAGTTACTCAAGCTCACTACCTGGGTTAGGTGTTGTCTCCTCTATCTCTCTTACCTTCAGTTTGTTATATGAGTGTTAAATTTTCCAAGATCTTTTTCCTCATTATGTGCCCTAAGAATTTCAACCTTCTCTTTCTGATTCGAATTATTGTTTCTGTCACGGGTCCTTACCTATAACTACAGAATGAAGTCTTCCTAACACTATATATACTACGCCTCTCAAGAGAGAGGGACGAATTGAGTTGAGCTGATAGTAGTTCACTCCTAACCAGACTGACAGTCATACTAACACCTTCTCCATCTGGTATTATTATTTCATGTAATATACTTTTGTTATTTCTACTCTTGTGTTTGTGTTGTTCTTCCTTGGTCTTTACCCGGACCATAACAGTTTCATTTCCTTTAAAACTTGGTATTTTCAGCATCTTTCTGTAGAACCACATTTCTGTTGCTTCAAGTTGCTTCATTTTTGAGGGAGATTGTTCAGCATTCACTGCCATGCAGGAGGACTGATATTACATAACTGTTCAGTACTCTTTTCTTTGTTTCTACTGAGATTTTCTTTTTCTTAATTCTTTTCTTAGTTTTTGGAAGGCATCTTTTGCTATCCCAATGTGCCTTTAGATATCTGTGTTGCACACAGCTTTGAGTATATTTTTCAATTTATCCAAGACTAAATATTTAGGTAATATTCAGCTCTATTCTTCCTTCAAAGCTGAATTGTCAGCAATGAAGGAAGACTAGAGCAGTTAAGGACTGGAGTTGGTGCATTTGCCTGGTCACTTGACTTAGGTCATAGTGCTGATGTTGAATGAAGTGAATTAGTAAAGCTTGATATTTGACTCAAATCTGACATTACTAATATCTATAGTTGGCCACTCGTATTCGAGGATACCTGTCTACTAAGGCGGCTAGCCAATCCCTTCTGCAGATGCTTGATCAGGTGCATTTGCATTTATGCAACACCCACAGAGCCAAACAGTGTTTTATACTGCAACTATGCTGAACAGACCTTAGTCACAGTTTCTGGGAAACAGTTTGTTATCTAGTGTGATCACTAGAATAAGGCCTGCACGATCATGCCCTCGGCCATGATGACTTGTGACTTCGTACTAGCACAGCTATCGATTGCCACCAAGGTTTCTGTCTACCTAATTTCAATCAGAAGGCTTGGGTCAGCATGTAGTTTGGTTTTCAGGCACTTTCCAAAGGTGCCACACACTGGAATCGCCCCCTCCAGTCTGATAACATCTGGAAGTTTCCTTCCTGACAAATCAACCATGATGAGATTCGAACCTGGGTCTCATGGCCAGAATGCAAACATTCTAACCACTTGGATGATATAGAGAAAGCAAGTGGAATGTCTATGTGAGTATGGTGTATGTCTTTAGAGCAGGGTGGATCTCAAGTGAATATGTGGGCTGTGTTGGTTGACTGAAATAACAGTAGTGACATAGAGAACTTTCTGGATGTCAACAGTTGGTCTGTTCTCTTTGCTTCTCTTCCACTTGGCTCCCGAACTCATCATTTTCTTTCATGGTACTATTTGTGATGGGTTTCTTTTTGTTGTATTTTAGATTTTTGAGGGGACTGGTTTTGGGAGCTGGGTGTGTTGCTCAGGAGCCTCTGCACATTAGGCAACTTTTTTTATTTTGGGTTTTGCTTTCTTTGTGCTCACATCCAGCCGGCATATAGAATGAATCAGAAAAGATCTAATTTGAAGTGGTGCATAACAGAAGTGATAAGGGCCTTTAGATTCCATGCCACTTGAAAGACTGTTAAATTATACATTTTTTACCCTTTGACATGAGCACAAATTAAAGTTGTGCTTGATTCCTTAGTTAAATGTCCATCAATACCACTGGAGACATGCATGATAGTATTGTGATATATGAAGATGTCTATATGTTCATTTAATCCTGCTCTAATTAATTGATTCCTAACAGTTTATGCTGACACATTTGGGAACACATTTGTTCTTACGTGTGCTGTCGACACCATGTAGCCTGTCATCATTAAACTTACAATGCATTGATCATGGTGAGCATGTATATATGATTGACTTCCATATTAATTTGGGTTATTTCATTTTTACATTGTAGATGTTATATACCCTTCATTGTCGGGGGTATCTTGTCTAGACAGTAATTGCTGGTCATTTTAGTTCAATCCAATTCTCTTGGTCAGTGTTGCAAAATGTTCTTTGGGTTCAGAGACAAAAAGCATCAGTGAAGAGAATTTTTAACCTAACTTTTATTTTATCAACCACATTGATGGATACATCTTCTGTCGAGTCCCTACTTGGGAGCCACTTCCAAACATGAAAATCTCACATGTCTATTTCCTTTGCTATGTAACAACCAACCGCCAAAAGACCCTTCCCCACTAGGTGGGACGGGGGCTTGTACAAACACAATCTACCACATACAGCTAGCTTGATGTCCAAAAAGCAACTCTCATAAAACCTTAATCTATAACTCATTCCCACGTTTGGCTCAGCCAATCAAAATTGACATCCCTATTTTGTCTACCATCTGACCTTAAAGGTCTGCCTCAGAATGTTTGAGCCAAAATACACTGTCACTAAAAAAGATAATATTCTGAAACTATTATTTAACATTCGTTACCCAACCATCAGAAAAAATTCATCTATAAATTTTATTTCAACTACATTATATTTAGAAGTAGAAAGAATGTGAATGACAGTTTCCTTTGTATGTGATGTTTTATTCATACTATTTCTATATATAAATACCAGCTTTAAATCACCTACTCGGTGACATTGCATTTAATTTTTTTTTAAATCATTGTTGACTGGGAAACAAGCAGATGAAAGTGAGTGCCACAAGTAAGAAGTGTGATAGAAGAAACTGTTGGCATAGAACTTACAGTTCTAGCAATTTCCACTTTAAAATGATGAGACATTGCTGCCAATCTAGTACTACACTTAAATTCATAAAGTCTTGATACCATAGAAAAAGTTCATCAGAACAATTACCATGGAAGTATTTATAAAAAAGGCACAGGGAAAGTACATTATACTGATAAGAAAATGATGGAAGCTGTGATAATGTTGAATCTTTTGGGGGATTTTATCAAGTATCAAGTTTTTTTTTGTGGAATTCTTGTTTCCAAACTGCACTGTGTGATTGATTTTGATAGACTCTTTGATATGGCTTGCTGCACAGATGTAATGTTTAATACACTTCTGCCTGATCTGACACACCCTGCATTTCTTTGGTAGTTATCCGTTACCAATCTAGTCTTCACAAACTTTGCACAGATGCAATAAATCATTATGTAAATTGGTGGGTCTTGCCCTGCAATTAATTCTGAAAACTTTTGACTTTGGTTGCTGAACCATACAAACTTGCAACCACTCTTCTTTGCTCCAGTGTTAATCTGTCACCCATAGGGTATGTCTGTCTGCAAAAGAAAGATAATCCATTAGTGTTAAAATAATAAGAATAACAACATAATAATAATGTTATCATAATTTTGTAAGCCTGTATATAAATAAAAATTGTTTGTGAACGAAAGTGATATTGTTACATTCCAGAAGTTTTGAATCTTTTTCAGGAAGGACATTTATTAATTTCAAAGAAATACAAAAATCTCCTTCAAAGTAGGATCCTCTGACTTCAGTGGACTTTTTGTAGCACTCCAGGAAGGCCCCATGGATGTCATCAAATGCGATGGGATCCATGACCCTTGTCACAGCCTCATTCATCTTCTCAATGTCTTCAAAACGGCTGCCCCTCAACTTCTTAAGATTGAGGAATAACCAAAAGAGAGCAAGGTCTGGATTGTAGAGAGTGTCAGGGATAGTTTTGATGACCAACTCAGTCAACACAAAATTTTATTGCATGGCAAGCTTCCAAATTGTCACCATGTCTCAACTACATTCTGCAAATTAGTCGGCTGTGTCAGTGTTTAGTGGGTTATGCTTAAAGAGCCATTACCACTGTATCTTTTAATCTGGAATAGCAGAAGTTGACATGTCAGCTTATTAGATGTATATTAATGATATACTAAAATTACAATAATCTAAGACAGTTATAATTGCCACTCTTAAAAAGGTCTCCAAACATCTGGAATGCGCCTCATAGATTACAATGCAAACATTAAATAACACAATGAATATAGTACAGATATTCACCAAGTATTGTAATTGTTACTGTTACAATACATTGATTTTGCCGAGAATGTTATTGTAACGACTGACTGCACAGTGACTACAGCACTCATCAAATCCTATGTGGCGCCAAGAGTGTTAGCACAAACCATTAAAAATTATTTACTTGCAGTAATTTTCCTGCACACATGTGCTTCTGTCCAGACTTTCTTATACAGTGTGACCCCCAAAAATGGGAACTTTTTAACAATCCAATAAAACCAAGAGTGGTGGAAGAAAAATATTTTATTCATAGTAATTGAAACCTTAAAACATACCATTTAAGAAACAATGATGGAATTACATCCTGTAGATGGCATCCTCCTGTACGAATGCATTCTTGAAATCTGCTGTTGAGATTCCTCATTGACTGCTGCTAACGCACACTGTTGTTCTTTCCACTGATCCATGGTTACTAAAATGGTGAAATGTTTACTTGCTCAAGGTCACTGTCTCGCAGTGTTGCCAGTGTTGCTAATGTCTTGCAATACGCACTTCAAAAATTCCCTTTTTTTGGGGTTACCCTGTATATCAAGACTGTCATGCTTGTCTACAATGGAATTATTAGTGTGTTAACTTATGGAAGAAAATGAAGCAACAGAGGTGTAGTTCTACAGAAGGATACTAAGAATACCATGCAGCATGTGAGTAACAAGGAAGTTTTAAAGAAAATGGAGACAAAAAGGATCTTAGAATCAGAAAGAGATGGTTGAAATTTCAGGGGAGAAAAGAGGGCTTGGAGAATTTGACACTCACAGGAAATACTTAAAGCAAGAGGGACAGAGGGAAACATCAAGTAACCAACCTAACAAGCTTGTTTAAATGGATGCTAAACACAAAGGGGGAATGAGAGTACAAAGAGAAAGCTTTTTTAAAAAATCATTTCATCCCAAGCAAGGCAATAAAGCTGTAAGGGCTTGTTTGAGAATAAGAGTAAAAAAAAACACTATTAAGGAGATAGAAAAATAAAAGAATAGGAATACAGAAGACAAAAGAAAATGCTTGACACTACACTTAATTTTTTTTCAAAGTTGACTGGGAAGCAAAAAAACTGGAAAAGAATTCCACAAGTGAGAAGTGAGAGAAAAGAAACTGTTAGCATAGAACTTACAGTTACATCTAGGAATTTCCACTTTAAAAGGATAAGACATTGCTCCAAATCTAGTACTACACTTACATTCATACAGTCTAGATACCATAGAAAAAAGTTCATCAGAACAATTACTATGAAAATATTTATGGAAAAGGCACAGCGGAACCATTATACTGATGAGAAAATGATGGAAGCCGTGATAATACTGAAGCTTTTTGAGGATTTTATCAAGTGTCAAGAGAGAAGTTTTATAGAAGAAACTGTTAGCATAGAACTTATGTTTACATCTAGCAGTTTCAACTTTCAAAGTGATGAGATCTTGCTACAAATCTAGTACTGAGCTTAAATTCAAAAAGTCTAGGTACTATAGAAGAAACTTCATCAGAACAATTACCAAGAAAATATTTATAGAAAAGGTACAGGGAAGCTGTGTTATATGGGTGGGAAAATGATTAAGCCAGGATGTCAGGGAAGGACCAATAACATTACACATTATTCATTGAATTTTATCAAGAATCTCTAAGTATATAGCAGGGGCACACCAGACTATATGTGGCAACAATATCCAAAGTATGAATGGATGCTAGACCTATAAATTTGTAAGATAGATTTTATCAAGAACCATTTACAAAGAGCTAGAAAAGATAGATAGTTGTGGAGAGCCACGGTTTATCACATCTCAAAGGGGTAACTTTTTTCCAAGAACTGCTATTTTGTGGAACAGACCCCCACATGAATGCTTTCCTCATCACTGCAATCCTAATCAAGAAATTTTATTTTATTTGTTTTTTACAGTTTGTGGGTTAATATTGAAATGTATTTTTGGTTTGTAAGAATAAGATTTTTCTTTGGGTGGGGAAGTAAGTATTGCATTAACAATTTTTTTAGAGATAACAGTGACTTTCCAGTTGAAAATACTACAATTTGACCCATAGCTGTAGGAGAAGAGATGGATTCATATATATAGGATATTTGGGTATAAATGAATGTAACAAAGTTGATTGGAATGTGACCCTCAGCTTTCCAATTTCTCATTCCAAGGCGATTTCCATAATGTCTCAAAGCATGTCCAACTTATATAATTGTTATGTAATGAGGTGTTACTTAAAGAATCTTTACATTTTTTATTGTTGAGCTGGTATTTACAATTGTAAAGGCTTATGACTGTCCAACTTTTCATTCCAAGCTGCTATCCTTTTCACCACCTGCACAAACTCAAGTCATCTACCTTTAGGGCTCTTGGGCCTTTTATTGGATGAACTTTAGTAAAAAATATAGTACTGAATGTGAACAGAGAGGAATACATCAGCATTGTTTTTTTTATTAATGCTTTATTAATCATGACTGTTTTTTTGTTCAATTTGTTATTGATCATGACTATTTTCCTGTTCCAGATATTATTAGTCACTAGCAGTAGAGCCCGGTGTTGCCCAGGGATGTAACAGTAAGAGATAGATCAAGTATCAACCATCATAAAGACTGAAAAATAAAATTGACAAAGATTATTGTTTAAGGTTGATGGACACACACGTCTTATTTTTTTTTTTTTTTTTTTTACGAATTGGTCAAACCCAAACTGAAACAAAAACATTGTTTTCAATCGTTATGAGTTTACCGATTGAATAGAATTTTATTATAAACAATTGTCTTGTAAATGGAATTTTTAAAGCATTCTGAATGTAAAAATAAATAAAAAAAAGTGTGCAAGACAATAAGAAACACTACCTGCCAAAAAAAAGTAAAGTTTTGTTGAAATTGGTTGAAAAATGTAGGAAATCCGATCCCATATATAAGTGAACACACACACACACACACACACACACACACACACACACACACACACAACCTGGGTTTTATAATAAGTATAACTCGATATGAGTT